TTTGCTCCATTTCCTCTGTTATTGTTTATATTTCTGATCCATATATTATACCTGACAGTAAGCAGTGATTATAAAGTATTTGTAATGGCAAAACATCCTTCAATAATAGACCATGGTATACATTTTCTGCTGTTTTACAATTGTGCATGACTTTCACTCAAGATGTATTTTATACATTTTGGATACATTTTGACTATATTTTCCCAGCTGTAAAATGTAAATGCTGCTGAAAGTAGATTGGCATTTAACTTGCGAGGGAAGAGGAGGGTAACAAGTATGGAATATACTCCACATTTTATAATCCATATGACCTGCGGGCCCAATGCCGCGCATTGATGTGAACACTGCCTGCAGGGATAAATTTTGCCTTTCTCAAAATGAGCAAAGACGTGACAGGACAACAAGCACCCTCTTACACTAACTGGAGGATAATACTCGAAACTATCTTGATTATATTTCGATTTAAAGCTTTTGTGACTGCAGGGATTCATCTTCTTGGTTCTTTCGGTAAAGTTACGTAGAAGGGAAATAATAAAATAATAATAAAACCTAATAAAATACAATTCTCACGATGTTTCGGCCACAACGCAAGCAGCCGTCCTCAGGTGAAAAACAGGTCCGTCGGAAAGACAGGTCTGTCGGAAAGACAGCGTCATTCAGACGCTGTCTTTCCGACAGACCTGTTCTTCACCTGAGGACGGCTGCTTGCGTTGTGGCTGAAACGTCGTGAGAATTGTATTTTATTATGTTTTATTTTTATTATTTTATTATTTCCCTTCTCTTGATTATATTCAGTAATAGCAAATACGTGTAGCGACATCGCCGGATACCACAATGTTGTGGGTGTAGTACCGGCGCTAGAGGGGCACGGTGTGCACTGAATAATAGCGCTGGATGGCACCACGCTTTAAGTACAGTGCCGACCTTACAGGACAAGGTGTGTGGGTGCCCACCGAAGGAAAGGGTTGTGTGAGGCCAAGGCACTCTGGTTGACCCGGGAGGACACGTGACCGGTTAAGTTGACAGAGGGGCCCCAAGAGGGGGCTAGGGGGGTCACGTGATTGGGACCCAGATCCTTTCTGAGGATTCTGGAAGGTGGACGTGGCCAAGGGCAGAGCCGGCCACGCCACAGAGAATATAAGCTGGGTCCTGAGAGGAACCAGGGTTGTTGTTGTTCATCCTGGAAGAAACCCTTCATCTACGATCTCCGTTCAACGAGTCTCCAACACGTGGACCCGGGCCGAAGTCATTGGTCCTGGTCTGTAGTAACAGTTACGTAGTAACTAGTGTAGTTAGCCGGGTGGTCACCACCTTAGGTTGCTATTCTGTTAAGGGGAAGTTACCCCGTGTGTTGGAACTGAATACATGTGTTGCCTCCAAAGTCTACGTCTGCGACTCAGTTGAACCCATTACACATGTAACAGCAGTGGTACATCATGGCTCCTGTATGAGAAGTCAACACAATTCACTGCAATCTTCCTAGTTTCTAATGCGATGTGATGGCATAATTTTATAACTGGCTTGCGGGTAATGCACCAGTGATGGGTTGTCACCTGACCCATTCTCTGGGGCACCCACATGAAATTCAGTGTTATTTCTCAGCAAAGAAAACCCTGATTAATTATTTAGTAGTGCATTTTAAATACTCAATTAAACCATCTGTACACATTTATCTAAGACTGAACATCTAAGGTGAAATTTGTTGTCTCCTCAAATTGGAGGCACAAACCACCAATGTTGAGCAGTGGTGGCTTTCGGCAACAGTGAATGTTCAAAATGCAATTGTCTGGGCAACCCTGCAGCTCAACAATCAAATTCCCTGATGATATTCTCTACTTACATGCAGGAGAATTTTAAGGCAATTTATGTTTACATCACACACTGTAATATATTATGTGACCTTTAAGGTTGAGTTACAGCAGGCTTAAAGTAGAGCTTTGTCTCTGCTAGATTAATGCATTGGCGGCTGTATGAGAATGTCTACAGTTTGTAATAAAGAGCGGACAGCGAGGTCAATTATTTCCACGGTCAAAGTGCTCTCTGGGATGCTGCAGCATAACACCCACAGTGCGGTGCACAAGGATGAGCATCCTGCTGCCCTCCACAAAGCCTCAGCACATCTCCGCTTAACAGAGCATGGAGTCATTTTGCAAAGTCGACGGCGGCAAAATACCTCCATACTCTATCCTCAGATGGCCGAGCAGCGTCACAATAATGTGGAATGCGCAGACAGGGTTGAGCACCACTCATTAGATGATAAATGTGGTGTTCTTGTCGAAGGCGTCACCAACGTTAAGGGATAAGGGAGTAATTTCCGGGGAGATAATGTAATGGCCATCAAAGCAATCTTCAAAAAGTAACAATTAATCTGACAGGAGAGAAACGAGTTGCTTGCAGATGTGAGTAATATTCGCCCGAGGACCAGCGCCGCATGCCAAGTGAGTGGCCATGAAGTTGTCGCTCTCCAGCGCTATGGAGCCTGGTGTAAATTTGAAACCTGTGATGAATGCCAAGCCCAGCGTGCCAATTCTGTACACACGGTTGCAAGCTTTATGCAGGCAGCCAGAGGGGGAGGTACCTGCAAAGTTTATGGCAGGTGACACCTGGTGAAGTGCTTGAATGAAAGAGACAACCCGCATTTGTAGCATTGCGATAGTTTTATAAAATGGTTTTGTTTACATGTGTAAATGTTTTTGTGTCAGCAATGGTGTATAGTATTGGGCCAATTGTACAAGTTTTGTGACAAAAAAGTAAGAAAAACAATACACATTACAGCTAGAAGCGAGCCTTTATCCTGCAAAAAGGACTGTATTTATATAAACGTGTCTGCACACTCCGTGCCCACATGGCCATGCGAGCACATTCATGGGTACACAGGCTCACACATACACCCAGAGGCCAGAAACCCATTTCAGAGGCAAAAAGACCACAGATGACATTTCCACCCTATTGCAATCAGATTGACCACATCAAAATGAGGCTCTTCCCATAATTGGTTCATGATAAGCCGAGGCTGCAGGGTCAATGGCTATAGATTAAGGGTTAGTGTTAGGGCAGGAGTATGAAAATGGTTAGTGGACTAGCATATCTGACATAGTTGACCCTATATGTTCCCAAGAGTCAGGGCATACAGATACTCTATAGGAGGATTGAATGGTGTTGAAAGGTGGTGGGCGAAGCTCTTGGTTAGCATCGATGCTGAACTGACAGCAGAGGACCCACATAACCAATATTGCTCCTGAGGTCTAATCAGTTTGAAGAGATAGCCATCTGCATTTGCAAATTATAACATATATGAACACATACTCTTGGGTCTTTTGGTAAAGTCACGTAGATAGAAAAATATATACAATAATAAAAAATTCATAACGTTTCGATCGCAACACAAGCAATCGTCTTCAAGTGAAAAAATACAGCAGGCAGACTGCTGAGGCAGGAATAAATATAGCGAGAGAGCTACTGCAGCCAAAGGTTATATAGGTTTGAGATGGGTACAACCTAAGGGTAAGTGGGCGGGGCTAGAGATGGAATTTGCAAGTAAATGTAAGATCGCAGAGCTAGGTATACCTCGGCTATTGTGCTACTCGAGATTAACATGTCAATCTGTTAATGTAACCCCATGGCTAACGGTGTTGAAGAAGCCATTGTATTGCTCGAGATTAGAGATTAGCATGTCAATGTGAGACGGCTCCCACAGCAGCGGCTGTGTTAATGAGACATTCAGCCTATTAAACAATGAGCGCCACCACTGCATCGAGGAAAAGGGAGCAGCAGCTATGTTAGTGAAACATTTAGCCTGTTAATGTAAATACATTTAACAAGGTAATGTAACTCAGAGAGTCGTAAATAACTGCTAACATAGGCAGGTAGGATGGAAGCATCACAGCCAGTTATTACTTTATCTGGTTAATAACGTCCTTCCAATGATTGCTCAGTTTGTATCCATCTTCTCGGTTGAAATTATGTCTGTGTTTATATATCTAAATGGCTTCATGAACAAATCTTTGATAGCCAGTGGGTTTGCATAGTACCTTCGTCTTGGCGAAATCAATTTCACGTGTGCCCACAGCGTTAAAACAATGATCAGCCATGGCAGAGGTGTTGATCCTACCGTGTTTCAGATCCGCCTTGTGTTCGCGAACACGGTCTGGGACATGTCGCTTAGTTATAAGAACACGTGTTATAATAATATTAACCATACATGTCTGAAATTAACTAGTTCATACAACTCAAACAGGTGAAAGCTAATACATAAATAGCCCCATGTACAAACAGGTCGTTTATATAAGTAATCGACAAATACAATTTCCATGTCCAGTCATTAGTTACAGAGACAAGCCTGAAACTTGTTAACGCATGCAAGTTCATCAGAGGAATAATGTATAGGTGAAGGAACAGCCCGTCTCATCCCTATCCTTCCATCCACACGCTACCAGCACCCACCACCACTTCCACGAGGCCCTTCTTGTGCTCGGCACGGACGTGTATAACGGTGCACCCAATTCCCCACCGCAATCTGCTCTGGATAGCAGTGGCAAGGCTCGGGTGGCCACCTGCCCCCGTCAATCAGTGCGGTGGTGCATCACTCCGATGCGGCATAATAGGAGGTGATGTGTTGCCGAATGGTGCGCGGCGAGCCACGCTTGTTTGTCTGATGGGTTTGAGGACGCGTAATCTAAAATGCATTACCTTTTGTCTGAGAGGCTTGATCGACGATCAACGAAGAGAATTTTCATGGTTCTTGGTCCCCAGAGTGACTGCTTCCAACGTCAGTCCTCTTACCTACGCACTGCTGCCCTCAACCCCTATCCTTATCGCATGGCAATTGAGTGTTCACTTAAAGTACGATTGCAGGAAGTGTGTCCGTGGTGTTGACGAGAGCACGGCCAGCGCCACCACTGTGGCATCGCTTGTCGTATGCGAGTCGGCAAATGTGCACAACAGGACATTACCATGGGCGCCGCTCCCACCCCCACCATTGTGCGTATGTCACCGTGTACCTGTGGTGGCTGTGGGCGGCGTGCAGGTCTCGGGCACACAGGGTCCCCACGCGGACCAGGCAGATAGGACACACTCGTGCGGACAGGGCTGCTCGCATGGTCGCGTCGACTCCAGTGGAACCAGCTCAGGGCACAACCCAGTCTCAACTGGCCTGGGGGCTGGCCCATGGGGGTGTTGTAGAGGAAGGGAGGAGTTTTGTTAGGGGTGGGGGTGGAGACAACCATTGTAAGGTAAATTAGGAGTGGATAGATGGTAAGGAGAAAATATGCAGTGGACACAAAACTAGAACTAAAAAACTAGACAGTGGCACACGCTACCCTGGATGTAACAATTACCATACCTCATAAGTATATAATTCGTTTGAACATTAAAGATTGAATTTTTTTTCACAATTCTGATTGGGAAAGATTGCTGCTCATTGTGCCACATTTGAGAATTATTCCAACTCCTATCTCACCTCCCAGCTGTCTTCCAAGTCCGCCCGCCCCATACAATCCCAATTTACATCGATTACGATCTGCACACGCTGCTCATTGCTGTGCCATGAAAGCGCCTGTGCACAACATTATTATATCGACATGGGTGTGCAGAGAATGGCTGTGCATTCACTGACTGCGGCTATGTCGACGGCACCCATGCCCAGAGACCCACGCCTGCACGCACAACCTTGCATTCCTCACAGCTCCGTGCTGTCACACCCCATTGATTGCCAACTTTATCAAACATTAATATATTTCAAATGACGCAGAGTATGGAGAGGCAATGATACGGTGGCAGTTTCGTAAGTTGAAATGAAAACTTTTTCCCTTAACATGTCACTTCACAGTGTGTGCCACTACAATTACTTTTTACACATCCACCCTCAATGATTTAAAGAATGCATCCAAGGACAAAATGTATTACACAAAGAGAGTGCAGTATGGTAAAGGTAGTAAAGAGTCCCTCTGATTAGTTGAGATGTAAATATTCTGAAAATGGTGGAGATTATGAATAACTCCCAAATTCACCTGGAAGTTCCTCCAGCCCAAACTCCACCCAACCTTGGTCACTTTCCTTAATCATACCTGCTGGTTCCAGGGGCAGTGAGAGCAGTGGCTGTGTGGTGGGAACCCCTCCCTCTCCAGCTCGCTGGCCTGCCCAAAAGTGCAACGACAAGCATACACAAAAAATATCTGCCATTTAGCCTTCCACAGATTGTTGGAGTACATGCTCTTCGCGAGCACTTATGAAGGCTGGCATGACACAAGCGGGGGTGGGTGGCCAGCACCATGCCCGGCCACGTTTGTCTCCCTCGTGGCGATGTTTACAAACCACATCAGGCAATCATTTGAGGCTGAAGCGACCTATGGCAGGCCCAGAACTTGTCAGATAATTGTAAAACTTACACATGCAAGACAAAGATCCCCCCATGTAGCCTTCACAGACTGTTGGGGCAAGTGCTGTAAACAAGCAACTATGAAGGATGGCACGGAAAATGAGAGGGTGGGTGGCCAACACCACGCCCGGCCGCTTTTGTCTCCCCAGTGGCAATGTTTACACACTGCACCAGGTACTCATTTGAGGCTGAGTCGACCTAGGGAAGGCCCAGGACCGGTTCAGATAATCGTCACTGGTGTTGGCTGTGAGCAGGAATCGAACTCGGGTCATCGGGTTTGTGGCACAGCACGCTAACCGCTACACTATCCCTGTGTGTGTGTATTCACATGCAAATACACATGCACAAACTAATACAAAGATCTCCTGTATAGCCTTGACAAACTGTTGGGGCAAGTGCTGTTAGCGACGAGCACCTATGAAAGCGGGAATGGCACATGAGGGGGTGAGTGGCCAGGACCATGCCCGGCCACCTTTGTCTCCCCAGTGGTAATGTTCACACACCGCACCATGTACTCATTTGAGGCTGAGTCTATCTACGGGAGGCCCAGATAATCGTCACTGGTGTCGGCTGGGAGCGGGAATCGAACTCGGGTGGCCGGATTCATAGCGCAGCGCGCTAACCACTACGCGCTAACCACTACGTCAGCACTCGCCACAAATGCACACACATATATGCATACAAACGGCAGCAGCTACAATTGACTTCTGATGCCTCTTTTAGTTGACAATGTGAACCGACCATTATCTGTACAGGAGTGAGAGAATAAAGATGAGAATGCTGTACCAATTTTAAGGGAATTAAATTGGTTTCGAGTAAATTTCACATCAAAGTTTAAATTATATTCATGGCATTCAATGAACCTGGCATCCCCGGTGTTTTGATATAGTGCACTGACAACAAATTCAGAACACCACGTGTAAAAACAAAGATCCCCAGTGTAGCCATACAGACTGTTGAGGCAAGTGCTGTTAACGAGCACCTATTACGGCCAACACGGTGCATGGGGGTAGTGTGGGCAGCACCACAACAGGATGCCTTTGTCTCTTCAGTACTGATGTTGCACACTCGATCAGGTACTCATTTATGAGCGAGTCTATCTATATATATAAAATCGCAAATCTGTCTGTCTGTCGGTCTGTCTGTGTGTGTGTCTGTGTGGCCGGACCATACGCAGTTTCATTGGACGGCGGTTGCCCCTGGCAACGGCTAGCGACGCATTCGCTGCGGGGTGGACGCCATTTTTAATTCCCGTAAAAAATATGCGCACGCATTAACACGCGACTCTGAGGTAAATTCATCAAAGTTTCACGTCCTCTTCACTCCCCCCCCACCACAATGTGTGCAATTACTATTATAGGGTCGGTAGATAATAAAATTATAGCGATTAGACAGTATTATTGTAGCGCGGGGGGGGGGGGTACCGGACCCATTACCCAGCCTCAGCCGGGTGGGCAATCTAGGCGAGGCCGGAGGCTTTGCACGGTACTAGGCCTCGACACCCACCACGCGACTCTGAGGTAAATTCATCAAAGTTTCACGTCCTCTTCACTCCCCCCCCCACCCCAATGTGTGCAATTACTATTATAGGGTCGGTAGATAATAAAATTATAGCGATTAGACAGTATTATTGTAGCGTGGGGGGGGGGGGGGAATGGCACCCGTACCCAGCCTCAGCCGGGTGGGCAATTTAGGCGAGGCCGGAGGCTCTGCACGGTACTAGGCCTCGACACCCCACCACACTATAGGCCGTACATACTACTGCACAGCGGCCGAGGAGATCGTGGCTGGGGGGGGGGGGGGGGGGGCAGGGGTAGCAGCCCATCTGTGTATATATGTAAGGTTATTAAGAAATATATTTCTCACCCGGGCAACGCCGGGTACTTATGCTAGTACAGTATAATGTTGTCAAACAGACCCCTATGACTGACGCTATGTGCAGAGGCCTTCATTCAGCAGTGGACTGGCAAAAGGCTGTACATTTTTAAAAATAATTCTAATTAGTGGACATCGAAGATGTTCTGATAGCACTTTCCAGTGATGTTAGCCAAAAATCTATTAAATTCGTTGGGCTCATAGCGAGCACACTAAACACTATGCCGCTGCTCCCCATATCTGTGTACGTGTGTGTATACATGCATAGTAGGGACTGGCAGTGTAGCCGTTGGCGTGCTGCGCTATGAACCCTTTGACCTGAGTTCGGTTCCCTCTCATGGCCAAAACCAGTTACGATTATCTGAAGTCTCGGGCCTCCCCTCAAATGAGTACCTGGTGTGGTGTGTAAAAACACTGGGGAGAAAGAGTCTGGTCAGGCTATAGGGGGATGTTTGTCTTTGTATACGTGCACTATACACATACAATGGAGTGGAGGGAGGGGTCAGATGTGGGTGTGGGGGGAGATGGGTTGGGGGGGGAGAAGGTGGTGGATGGAGGCAGCAATCAGGCTCATTAACGAACAGCCCGCAGGGGACCTAAACATTACAGCCACACCATGGCCTCTTATCAACATGATGGAACTGTGAACACATGCAATTTTATTTTGTGCCAATTAATTAGTGTAATTAATCACAGCAATTTAATAGATGAAGATGTTTTTTGCACTGTGAACTGTCCATACTGGAAACAAAATAACACTAAAAGTTGTCCCACTTCTAACAAAAGTTTGTCTTCATTAAATATTATTTTGTGAGCTGGTAATTAACTTAATATTTAGTCATGGCCATGCATCAGTAGGGTAGCTGTTGTCAGTTGTCAAGAAAGAGGCCAAAGTTACATCCTTCAGCGTTGTTGCCTTCTCTTCTAATTTGGCCATGTTCCAAATTACAACATTAATGTGGCAGTTACTTTCGAAAACGAGCTCCTCCAAACGTGAACTATGGCTATCTATTAACAACAACAATCACGAGTAAAGCTGTATTTAAAATGCTTGCAATTATTTTTCCTCACTTCTTAAAAAAAAACCTGTGCTGCGTGCACTATCATCAATGAACTACAGGTTCCCCGTTTACAAAGCGGTCCCACTGTGATTGCGTTCAGGTGGTAAAAATCCAACATCGTACAAGCATGCCACACGGATAAATATTTAAAATGTCTCAAAAAACCTGCCCACTGTTAAACTTATGACGTGTTTACATATCAGCACCTTGCAATAAGTAAAAAAGTCAGCCTAGCATAGTGCTTTATGGGAGCTATTAACACACGTAAAGTGTATAATGTGGAAATAGGCATGGTTATCAGACAAAGAACGGACAGCTGGATTGAAAAAAACGAGAATCCAAGGCATCACACTCGCTACTATAATTAATAAATGGATGTGGTTGCGTGGATGAAAAATAACTGATGGAAAAACCTACAGTGAAGGAAGGTATAAAACAAGACAAAGAGACAATCTTGGAATGATGAAAATCAAGGTGTGTGGGAACATGACATTTTAAACATACAGACCATGGCATTAGCATGGTAAGGCATGCGTGTATATTGCTACTGCTGCTGATGATTTAATACCCTTTCATTTATCTGGATGAGAGCTCGTTAGTTTGCATATCATTGGTTTTCTACACAGGATCTGATACCCGCAGTTATGTAGAATGATTTGTTAATGTTTTCTAATCCTTTGCAGAAAATGTTTTTGGCATAGTGATACAACACTGACTGACACAGGTGACTGACTTTGCAAGTGACATCACAACGTCTTTATCACTGGTATTGCAACATTTGGTACATATATGGAATTATCCCAATAAATTACTGGGCTGCTGCAGAAATCAAATGATTACATGCAATCTGGGAACTGAGCTATCAATTATTTAAGCTGCTGTGGTGATTTTGATAATGATCACACCACTTGCTAAATTTGCACGTCATATTTAAAACAAATATTTTCGTGAATTAACTTCATGATCCTTATTAGAATTGTGACCTTTGTCAAGGAACCGTATCTTGCAATATCAGTGGCCATGCTAACTACATTCAGGCCCTGCAGCAAGAGGTCCGACAATATGGATGAGGATACGCCTGCTGATGATGTTGCTGATACTAGCGTTTCTTGTTACGAGAAAAGCAGTGGACGGACAGACCAGTGGGGTGTTTGAATGGGTGAGATTGCGCACCAGTCCTGGAGGGTGCGTCCCGTAGTCCCTTCAAGTATGAGAACACATTGTCGTCGTCCAGACAGCAGTAGATGTCGCGCACCTGCACCCCTCCACCGCACCACGCTGTCTGGTTTCCCCAGCAGCGTTCGTGCTGGTCCAGCAAGGGACCCACGGTGCACGCTGCCCAAGCTCCACCCCTCCAGCGGTATCTGGAGAAAATGTGTGGGCGCACACGTGCAAGCATGCACATGCAGATGTACATATAAGCACACGGGTACACACACATGAACATCAACAACAATTTTACCATTCGCCACACTAAGTGACAATGATGTCATAGCATCGTTTGTGCCCAGCCAATTGCACCATGATAAATAAATGGGTCCTGTAATTGGATGATTGGCCAATTTTGTTCGTTAAGTGTTTTAAAAAATGACAGCTGCCGAGAACTGACACTACAATGAAAGTGATAAAGTCCAGCTGAATTTTCAAGAGGCAAAGGGTACGTTTTGACGACGAAAATTAAGACAGAAATGAGATTCAAATGTAAAAATTATAAGTGAGGAAATGATACATGCTGTACTATTTTGTCCAGTAATATCAAATTATGTAAGTTTTTCTCATGCATATCCATTTTTATTCTGCATACAAGTCTTTTCAAATGCCTCGGGATAAAATAATGTAAAGGCAAAAAGAGCTGACTTTTGAATAAATTATACGATGGAAACGCACAGGAGGTGGTGAAAAGTGTATTGATGACCATCACCATTGGCTAAATTTTCCCAATGACATATGTTCTTCGAATTAGTGACATGTATTCCATTACTTGAATATTTATACCGTATTTATATTGAAGTCTTTAAGGCTGAATGTTTAGCTGTTTTCTCCTGTTAGATTCTAATTGCATTATTGGTGTCATATCATGAAAAAAAATCTAATTCAATTCAGAAATCTCCCAGCTAGCAGTGCGTCACGCTGTGGTCAGATAATCACACAACTACTTCTGAGGTGATTATAATAGTCCTTGTCAATCAAATTAAATGTTCATTATGATAGCTGCAATTTTGCCAAATTAATAGAAAAACAATGAAATGTGACCAGTTTTTTGTGATGTAATGAGTGAACAGGCTAAGAGCATCAACTTACAACACCAGTTAAATGACAAGTAGTTGAAATATAGATTCATCACAGACTAGTAACTGGTGATGGCTTCGTGTTCAGTTCCTGAGCTACCTGGCCATCTCCTAGATATCATGTAAAATATAATTAAAACTGGTCAGAATACATTTCGAAGGATAAGGAATTGTTGACAAATGGAATATATAAAAGGTAATGCAACAACTTGTTTGCGGCACTGCCAGTGGAAGAGTCTCCATTCGAGGGTGTTCTAGAGAGTTCCGCTAGATGGTATTTGGCTTACTCTTCCACGCTGGCCAGTCGTATTGGAAGAGGTGTACCATTTACCACCCTACACACAACCTGCCAATCGACTGTGGTGTTATCTATTTATACTGCTAATGCAGGGGGGGTTTAAGAAACATGTCCGTTCAACTGCCATGCTGGGATATCTATTGCCGGTGACCTCTGAATTGCACATGCTGCCATGTTTAGCACATGAAAACATCTGTGCATGTCATATTATAAATACAATGAAATATACTGAAATTTTTTTTTTCCTCACACAACACGCACAAGGAGTAGGTTGTTGAATTACTAGGCATGCTTAAGTGGCGGGATCTGGTTGTATTCCGTAACGGGGGCACATGGAACACGTCCAGATATTGGGACCGTTGTATTTGGTGCTATTGTTGTTTTGTCTTTGAGCATGCATATTTGCAGATTGGAGGAGGGAATCGCGGGTGTGATTGTTTGTGTTCTAGTTTATGTGTATGGACACGAGTTGGGACGAGGAATGTATGTTGGAAATTATATGTGAGAGCTTGTGTTCACTATTGCATTCTTCTTCCTCAAAGGCCACAGCAGTTTACTGTTTTTAATGGAATATTGTTATTTTCTATCTACGTGACTTTACTGAAAGAGCCAAAGAATATGTTATTAATGGGTTAAAGTTCTGTAATGAAAAGCCATGCAAAGCAACCTGTGTTGATGTACGTACGTGTTAACATGCATGCACATGTTTATATTTGTGTGTGGTCATGTGTGATGATGTACTGTATGTACGTATTTATGTACACCTATGTTGGTGTATATGTGTTCATCCATGTTTTATTTACATCGCGTGTGTGTACTTGCAGATGTGTGTGTCATTATTGTCAGCACAAGTGCTCCGGTGATACAACTGCCACTTATTGTAACTTGGCAGTTGTTAATGCTGTTTCAGGCACTGTCTTTGTACGTGTTTGTTCTTGTATGCGTGTGTGGTCATACTGTACATATACAGGCGTCCCTCGCATGATGCACAACATACGTTCCTGAAAAGCAGCGCCTAAGTCGAATCACGCTGGATGAAGCCTTTTTTTCATAGATATACATGTTATAACGGGGGGTGCGTTACGAAATAATTATTCCGTATCATTTCACTTAATTATTTTAGCCCTGGATTTACAAATATGTATAACTGTAATACTTAATAACGATAACATTACAAAAATACTTAGTAAGGATTTTAACAACAAATAAAGGTGTTTAAAAGATTACTACTTGCAAAGACGAGTTCATAAGAAGTAACTTCAGGGCTTCTTGAACGCTTCTGTGGTCTTTTTCACTCGTGGAGGGTTGTGGGCTGATCGGTGCTGGACGTAGCGTCGCCCACGCGCGTTTTAAATAATATTTTAGTTTTTTTCTTGAGCGCGTAACTGTGAAACGCATAGCATAATTGTCCCTAAAATGTCCCTAAAAGATAAATTGTGTAACTGCAAATTCACGCTATGGGGGAGCGTGTGACGCGAGGGACGCCTGTTCTGTATGTCTCTTTTGTCTGCTGCTGTGTGTTCATGTATTGTCTGCACACACTTTTCCTCATTGCTGCATGTGTGCGTTTTAATCCACATTTTGCTTGTGTGCATCTCTGTACCGTGGACATGGAGGCAGAATCCCATTTATGCTGCCCCCACATGCCTCCGTCTCCTGGAGAGATGGGCAGCCCTTGCCTCCGGCCAGAGCTGGATGCTGCACCGAGCGAATTCGTGTCCTCAGACCCCTTAGCCCAAAGGACTGGACCTGCCCGTGCCCCTGGTTGTGGCCCTGCCCTGAGCAGGTGACCGAGCAGGGAGACCAAGGCGACCACTCGCCGACATCGCAGTCCCTTGGGAGAATGCACACCTCCTCCGTGGAGGGCACCGCCATGAGCTCGCGATTGCACAGCCTGTCGGGTGCAACAGCATCCTTGTTACGCAATGAACAATAAACTATTTCACGCCATCTGGCCTCCCCAGTGACAGACCCCCACCGTCTTGCTCTGGTGCTAGGCACCGGCTGAGGCCCTCCCAAAAGTGAACAATCTAAGATTGTTTCCTCCAAGATTTGTCTTCAGCTAAAAACAGGAAACCTAATGTGTGTCTTCTCAAGGCCTATGTTAAAGGTGATGCCCTGCAACTCTAGAGAGCCGCTTGAGAAGATGTTTTGGCCTATCCACACTTTACATCACCACATGCGACCTTCGGATTGACTGGTCTAGCCATTTATACTACTGGGGTACAGAGAGGTGGGGGGATTTAAAACATTTGCATAGTGCTTCACCTGCTGTGCCAGGAAATTGGATCGACGGACCTTTGGATTGCAAATACGTTGTGCTAGTCATTACACTGCAGCAGCATGCCTCAAGGTCTATGCAGCCTGAAATGAATGCCCAATAATGACTTCCCCAAGGAAGGCTCATCAGGAAGTGATTGTCAAGTAACGCTCGCCAACCAAAATGAAAAGCAGCCATAAATTGGTAATCGTCGCAACAAGCACAGCTGCGGGTTAAACAATGGTGGCTGATAGTCATGTTGGTCCCTCTCACACATGATGGTGCAGAAGACAAATGCACCATCAACACTCGCCCCCAGGGCTGGCACAAAGTTTACCGGTGCCCTCAATGTCATTTCAAGAATCAGACCCCCTGTCTGTGTTGGTTCGAAGAAAATGTTGAGGGGGGAGGGAGGAAGGGCATTCGGGGAGGGAATGGGAAGGAGGGTAGGAGGGAGGGATACTTCTGAAATACGTTTTGCGCTCCCTGCATTTTGCGCCAGAGGCCACTGCCCACAGTGCGTCACCTACTCCTAACAGCGCACTGCTTGGCCTTAAAGTCCATCTGCATACTGGGCAGTTATATGCAGCTCTTGCTTCTCCTAAAATATTATCCAAAATAATTTGCCTACACAGTGACTCAAGCATGTTGCCTGGCACAATTTCTTGATCTCATGCTTATATCCAAGCTGTGTGAGCTTACTTTATTGCTTTTGTTTCTAATTTTCCGACTGCTGGGTCAGCCTGCCTAAACTGCAAATGAGGGAGTGACCCTCGGTGGTTATGGTGTTATTGCTAATATGTTTAACTGCAGGAGGTCCACACACTAATTATCTCAGGTTTTTGCCACCAGCAAATATAACTGACAACTGCATGACGATGAAACATGGACACAGAGGGCACATAACGTCAGTGGAATCACCTTGGCAGCGTGTTAAAATACACATCATGTTCATTTAATGTTAATGAAATGCATAATTTTCTGACTCATTTAATACACATAGCTCATTCACTTGTAGTAAATTGATAAAACTGTTGACAACATGTTTTGTTGTGAGCATGCACAATATATTTAATATACAGAATTAATTAATCCTAAGTAATTTGGTTTATAATATAGGTCAGCAAGGATTTTGCAATGTTCCACCATGGGTGTTTTGAATTTTATAAAATTTTATAAAAACCAAAGTACTTTGTTCATTAAATATGCAACTTCAGTTACAAATTTCGACCATATGCTATCAATATTTCTGGTATGCAATGGAGGTCATGATATTGATAGGCAAATTAACCATGATGTAAGGGAAAAAAGTTTAGCTGGAAGCATATTATATTTTTTGCGACATAGAATTGTAATGTATTACTTACTGTTAGTAGCTCAGCTTATTGGAGAGTATATTTAGTATACTGATGATACTATGAAGTTTATACTTTAGTTTTTTACGTGGTTGTTTAGTTGCTGCAGCTGCATACTATTCACATTCCTTCCCTTTGTTGGTGCTGCCCCTGCCCCTGCCCCCTCCCTTTGATGCTGCTAATCCTGCATAATGCATGGGCATAATATGACTTTGAAAACCCCCCGCCCACCTCCCACGCATTTCACAATTAGCACTATTCGCATTCCTGCATTTCCCATAAATATGCTAAATTCCTCTTCAAATGCAATTTTTTTTGTCAAGGCTCTCTTCCTCCTCCCTCACAGCTTAAATAGACACTTCAAGCCTAAGACGTGTCATTTAGACTCTGTCTTATCGACAGACATGTTCGGTAAAGTCATGTAGAAGGGAAGTAATAAAATAATAATAAAAATAAAACATAATAAAACAATTCTCACGACGTTTCGGCCACAACGCAAGCAGCCGTCCTCAGGTGAAAACCAGGTCTGTCGAAGGGACAGCGTCTGAATGAAACAGCACACGTGCTTGGAGCATATATATAAGCTGGGTTGGAAGGGGGGAAAAGAGCGCCTTGACAAAAGAATATGCATATAAAGAGGCATTTAGCATATTTATGGGAAATGCAGGTATGTGATTAGTACTACTCATGCCCGTGCATTATGCAGGATTACCAGCATCAAAGGGAAGGGATATGGGAAATGCAGGTATGTGATTAGTACTACTTATGCCCGTGCATTATGCAGGATTAGCAACATCAAATGGAGGGGATATGGGAAATGCAGGTATGTTAATAGTACTACTTATGCCCGTGCATTATGCACGATTAGCAGCATCAAAGGGAGGGGATAGGGGTAGCATTAATAAAGGGAAGGAGTGTTAATAGTATGTAGCTGCAGTAACTAAAACCACCACGTAAACAACTAAAGTATAACTACATAGTATCATCAGTATACTAAATATACTCTACAATAAGCTGAGTTACTAACAGTAAGTAATACATTACAATTCTACGTCGTAAAAATATATATAATATGCTTCCATCTAAACTTCATGCCCGTGCATTATGCAGGATTAGCAACATCAAAGGGAGGGGATATGGGAAATGCAGGTATGTGAATAGTACTACATATGCCCGTGCATTATGCAAACACGTACACCAAGCTCTTAAAGCTAATGGTTACTCCGACTACACAATCCGCAAAGCCATCACTCCAACCATCAAGAAGGATCCTGTTGAGGAGCCTTTCAAGACCATCACCTTACCCTACATTGCTGGGGTCACAAAAAAGATCTCCAAAATCCTGATAAAACACAAAATCCAGGTCCGATTCAACACAGTACATAAAATCAGTGATCTGGTCCCGTCTCTAAAAGATGTGGTCCCAGACATACAGTACCCTGGCGTCTACAAACTAAGTTTCCTCTGTGGTAGCAGTTACATTGGAGAAACTAAACGACATGCCTCGGACCGCATCAGTGAACATAAAGCAGACTTGAAACACGGTAGGCGAAACACCTCAGCCGTGGCAGATCACTGTTACAATTCAGTGGGCTCACATGATATTGACTTCTCCAAGACAGAGGTTCTCTGCAAGCTATCTGGCTACCATGAGAAATTCGTTCATGAGGCGATCCACATATACAAACACAAAGACAATTTCAACCGAGAAGATGGATTCTGGCTTAGCAATCATTGGAAGGACGTAATACACCATTTCGGATCTTAACTGATTGTGTTCACACTATGAGATCTCTTTTACCAGTGGAAAAATATAGTAGTAGGTTTTTAACCTTTTAAACTGGTACAAAACTGACACCTTTATTCAAGGCATCCCCTCCATTTGATGTTGCTAATCCTGCATAATGCACGGGCATAAGTAGTACTAATCACATACCTGCATTTCCCATATCCCCTCCCTTTGATGCTGCTAATCGTGCATAATGCACGGGCATAAGTAGTACTAATCACATACCTGCATTTCCCATAAATATGTTAAATGCCTCTTGATATGCTTATTCTTTTGTCAAGGCGCTCTTTTCCCCCCTTCCAACCCAGCTTATATATATATATATGCTCCAAGCACGTGTGCTGTTTCATTCAAACGCTGTCGCTTCGACAGACCTGGTTTTCACCTGAGGACGGCTGCTTGCGTTGTGGCCGAAACGTCGTGAGAATTGTTTTATTATGTTTTATTTTTATTATTTTATTACTTCCCTTCTACGTGACTTTATCGAAAGAACCAAGAAGATGAATCCCTGCAGTCACGAAAGCTTTAAATCGAAGCCTCAACATATTTTTAGATTTAAAGTTTTTGTGACTGTATGGATTCATATTCTTGGTTATTTCGGTAAAGTCACGTAGAAGGGAAATAATAAAAAAATAAAAATAAAACTATAAAAGAAAAAATTCTCACGACGTTTCGGCCACAACGCAAGCAGCCGTCCTCAACATAACACTGTCAACACAGATGACAAAATCCATACATGATGGGCCAGACGATAGGACAACGCAGAGTGAGGGGAGAAGTCAGGGAGGTCATTGAACGGTGGAGGGGAGAGGAGAAGCCAGAAAAGGTGCCAAAGAGAATGAAGAGAGATGAAAAGGCACCGTGGGGAAGGGCAGGTTCTGAAAAAAACTTTAGAAATTAGTTCACGGGGTGTGATCTTTAGAAATTATGTGTGCACACACATATACACAGACTGGAGGCATAGAGGGAGGAATAGAAAAGAGTGAAATAGAGGGAAGAAGATGGAAAGGGAATGGGATGGCAGGGAAGGGGGGGGGAGAAATACATTTGAGGAATGGATGCTGCAGAGGGATGCCTTGAGCCACGAAGAAGCAAGAGGAGGGGTTGGAGAACCGAGCGACGGGAGGGAGGGGAGGAGGAGGTAGTGGGTTGGAGGCTAATAAATTGGTAGCTCACGGGATGGTGTGCTGTAAAGCATCGTCATGCTCACACTGTCTAACAGAGCTGTCCCCTTTCTCTTTTTTGTGTACATGCACGGCATGCGCAGGAGAGACAGCAATGTGGCTGGAATGCTAAACGCTGCTCACTGCCAGATAAGCCTGGTGGTATTGGCTTTTTTTTCTCCAAATGAAATGTCTGAGTTTTGCAGTAACATTTTAATGAAATAAAATAAACTCTTAAATGGTATACTTGAACAAAATAAATGTTATGAATATATCTTGAGTATGGAAAAGCGATGTTACAGTGACATTATATTCATTTTTACATCC